ATTTATATAATATTTACATTATATTCTATATTATAACATTACATATTATATTAAATATTATATAATATATTATTATTATTATATATAATATTTCTATATTCATATTATATTATATTATATTATATATTTACATTATATTATATATTACAATATTACATATTATATTAAATATTATAAATAATATTTATATTATATAATATATACTATATAATATCCATATATTCATATTATATTATATATTAAATATACTATCTATGTATAATTCAAATTATATATAATTATATTATAAACTAAATATTATCTATAATATATAATATTTATATTATAATATATATTTATTTAATATAATATTATAATGATATATTTATTATACTATATATTCATGGTTTTGCGTAAATATTTTCACACCAACCAAGCGCGACCAAACATATGAAATTGTTTATGCAGTGCTTTTTAAATGTGCTACCGAATACACAGGTAAAGTATTTACATATGTGAATATTTCCCAGGGAATATTTACACGTGAACCAAACATATCCTTATTGTAATGGTTGTAATTATTTTGCAGGTGACCTACCCATAGCATAACCCCCTATGTGTGTATATAGGGCACACATTGTCCTACGATTTTTAGAGTGTGAAAACATGTGTATTTACTTATGCTTGAATATTACTCTCTCTCTCTCTCTCTCTCTCTCTCTCTCTCTCTCTCTCTCACACACACACACACACACAATCTTAACAGCATTACATAATAAATGATTGAAAAAGCTATGAAATGATAATCATGACAGAACAGAAGCAGATTGTCTTACAATGCTGAAATTGTACAACAGAAGCAGTTTGTCTTACAATGCTGAAATTGCACAACAGAAGCAGTTTGTCTTACAATGCTGAAGTTGTAGTAGTGGTCATCAGTATAGTAATATTGGGTAAACACTGAGCGCAATGTAAGAGAATTGGAAGTGTTGCCATTCCTTCACCTATAGGTAAGAGTGAGAATTGTTAACTTGTAATCCATACGAAGAGACTAAATACACATGATTAAATGCATAAAATTTTGGAGTACAATCATTATCCATTACACTGAAGGAAGGAACAAATGAATCTTGATGAAAATGTGGCTAATCACAAGGAAACAATATACCCCAATGCCTCATAACACGAAGCTCCATGCATGCCTCAACTTATTGGCTAGAATTTCAAGCATTGGCTGGTTACAAGAATAACTTGTTCATATAGCGAACTAGTTTACCAACCAAACAAACTAAAATGTCAAGCTACAGCATCAATGACAGAAAGAATCAACAAGTTCCACACGTTGTTGAAGCAATAGATATCACAAGACGCATCTCTTGAACATAAAGAGCAATAGAGAAAAGAAGAAATCCAAAAGGCAGTATGGAAAGGGTGTCCAAAGTTTAAAAAGATAAATATTGTTGCATCAATGGGATTTCTGAATGGGCAATCAAAAAGACCTAGTGAGGGAAGAACTTAAAAAGGACATTATAGCAAAGGCCAAGAAAGGAATGATCCATTATACCCAAGGAGACAGCATGAAACCATAAGAGAGGGCGGCCATGGAGGCGAGAAGAAGAAGGATATCCAAAGCGTTCAGGCCATCTATGAGGGTGTTCAAGGCCCCTAAACCTCCTCCACTGTATGTGACAATAGATTAAGGGGGTCACAGCATATGTAATTGCTCTGTATAACATGTGAACCAGCTTCCCACTTGTTCGCATCATAATCCCTCTGCACTTTAGTTTTGCCCACGCCACTGTGAATAATAGATAATTGAGTTTCAAATACAAAGCAGAATATAGAGTTTCAGGACACAAAAAAATATAATGAAGAGAGCGCAGAAAACAGAGAGAAAATCCCTCTCCACTTTAGTGCTGCCTATCGCCCTATTCCACAATGAATTCGAGAAATGAGTCTCAAATACAAAGCAGAACATAGGGTTGCAGACCCAAAAAACAAAAATCCGCCTACCCGTTTGCTCTCTCCCCTGCAAATTCATCAAATAAATCACAGTACATGACAAAGCAGAGAGAGAGTTTCAAGACCCAATAAACACAGAAACAAGACCACATTTTACATGAACTTCTCACTATATTTTGAGATTTCCATAAATGATCCAAACCAAAATTTTGGATCTAATTAAGCGAAAAAATGATTGTTATGTATGAGAGAAAAGCGGAATAATAATGTTACGGGACCTATGAAAAACCCTGGAAAAGATATCTCCCTTTACATGAATTCCCGTTCTCGATATACTTCTAAATTTTCAGAAACCATGCAACATATTTCTTCAGGTTAAATGAAAAACTACAATTAAGCATGAGAAATCCCAAAACAATTTAGAAAACAACGTTTGATTAGTAAACAGTAATACCATCGCAAACAAGAAAGAATATAAATATCATGACCATTTCATGAGAGAGAGAGAGTATACCATAATCAACTCAGACATTGTCCAATTTCATGTCGTTGCTGGAAATTCAGTAGCCAAAACCTGAATTAATTTTAGGTTTTCCATCGAATCAAAGATTCAGAAGCCAAAAGTTGAATGAATGTTAGGGTTTCCATTGAACTAAAGATCAGAAGCAAAACCTAAATCAATTCTGGGGTTTCCACTGACGCAATTTAGAGTTTCCATGGAATCAAGAAGATGGAATGCACTTGATCGTCATGTGACGGGAACTCGAAACCGTAATATTGAAATGTTGTCCATTAAAGGAGGCGCGAAATTCAAAATTTTGAGAATAGAACGTTAAAAATTTACAATTACTACCAATTGACTACTACTCATTGCTAGGTATATGTCTATCACTCTCTATTCACGCTAGGGGTGGCAATGGATCAGGATCCGACCCAAGACCCGCCAGACATATCCAATACGGATCTAGGTATGGGTCCAGCATTTGGATCTTGTGGATTTGTGTCCAACTGGACTCGACCCATACATAAATCATTTGAGATAAAATATTTTATTTTAAGTCTTATTTGTTTGGGTGTATTAATGATCGAGAAGAACTCGTAATTGTCTTTAGCTATTAAATGACAAATCGGATAATTTGAAATCTAATGGTGAGTGTTTATGACCTTGTTGGCAATAATACAAGTACATGATGGTAAAAAAAACAAAAAAAAATTCATAGTGATGGTTGCAATGGACCTGACCAGACCCAGGACTCGACAGGGTAGACCCGACAAGTATGGGTATGGGTATGGGTCCAGGTCCAAGTCCAGGTCCAGGTCCGGGTTCGGGTCCAGGTCCGAGACCAGGTCCAGGTCCAAAACCAAGACCCGAATACTATTTGGGTTTCGGTTTCGGTTTCAGTTTAGCCGGACCCGGCCCGTTGCCGCCTCAAATTTCTCGCCTAACTTGCCTACTATGTATTATTGCTTTGTTCGGCTAAGTTGCTTCAACTTACAACGATGGGTCATGTTCATGTTCATGTTCATGGGATAGTGAGCGTTTGCCCAACGAATAAGTAAGATGATGGCGTTTGTTATCAACAGTGGGCAATTGTTTTGGTTATATATTCTAACTGGTATAGATAGTGGGCCCTTACTCTTCTTTAAAATGGCATTCTTCGTAAGAGTAAGCACATGTGTCCCGAGCGATTATATACAATGAGATCATTTACCGTATATGCGAGGGATCACAATTGTTTATAGCCATACAATATGATAGATTGGGTGTCTTGCAAAGTTTGAAAAAATCTATTTTGAAGTTTGTGCATGGTCAATAGAATAAATGCATCATCTAATTTCACATCCAATAGTTAAAATTAATCGTATCTACCTCTTTTGAAGGTAAATTGTTTCATTGTATATGTTTTTGAAAAAATATATCCTTATTTTCTATTTCTTACTTCTATTTCTCTTCAAACTCAAAGTTAAAAAATGTTACTTGTAAGATAAAGTCTCTATTTTTTTTTATCTTGCAATCCCCTATATCCTTTTCACCGTTAATTTTTTACCCACACAAATATTAAAATAGCACCTATTTCTCAAAGCACTATTTCTCTCAACACTCTATCTCTCTCTAGTACCCAAAGTTAACCCTCTCTACATTGTCACTCTCCTCTCTCTCTCTACAAATAAAACCACAAACTCTTTAAAAATCCCAAAGCACATATCTCTCTATGGAATCACCGTTTCTCTCTCTCTGATACCCAAAGTTTAGAATCACCGTCTCTCTCTTTCAAACCTCCATTTCTCTCTTTATGATACCCAAAGTGCAGAAACCCTCTTTACATTGTCTATCTCTCTCTCCTCTCTCTCACAACAAATTATCACCATCTCTATCTGATACCCCTTTGTAGCTCATTTCGTCTCTCTCTGATACCCTTTTTGCAGCTCATTTTGCTCCATGACTCGAAGGACCTCTCTAACTAAAAATGACAGAGAGCCCAATTAAAGCTAAATAACTTTGACATTCCAAAATTACTTTCTCCATTAAAATTCGCTGATAGACATTTTCGGCCTCCATGGCTTCTCCCAATTTACAGAGATAGTTGATAAATGTTGAAATATTTATATCTTCCAAATACCCATTTCCTGTAATCTCCTCAAGTATACATTCAACGTCTTTAATTCTATCATCCTTTACAATACAGTGAATCACAATACGGTACAAAAAAAACCCATAAATATTTGGGTTTTTTTTCAATTGGCTCAAGACTTTTTTTGCCCTCACTAATTGATTAATCAGATAAAGGAGATGGATTACCAGAACTGAAGTTGCAGAATCAAATAAATGGCTTTTTTCTAACAATAAGTCTAGCGATCTTAAATCTTGTAATTTTTGTTTTCTTTTTTGAGAACTGTGAATTGGGAATTGAAGAGCTTTATGTATGTTAAAGTTTCCGTAACTTGTTGGGCAAGAGAAGTTTGCCTACCTAAAAACTTTGACTAGAAGAAGTTTTTTTTATACCTAAATATCCTCAAATTGATCATCTCAACATCAAGATGCATGAACATAAGAAAAAAAATAGATTTCAAGGTTTTTAAAAAGTGCATCTTGTAACTCACTTTTTACCGTCAATTTTTTAAGATTTTTAAGTTTTTATAGATCTACTCGATCTACATTATTTTGAAGCTTTAAATTTTATAATTAAATACCAAAATATACTTTAAGACTATCACAAATATTTCCAATATTAAAACCATATTTCTCTATACTATTTGAAGGTGGGCTCTAATTTTATTGTTTAGAGCTTTAGCTCTTTACAAACCACACCCAAAAAAAAAAAAAAGCATGCCATTTGCACCAAAGCTGACATGTACATCATCTTTATTATTTCTTGAGGAGTAAAAGTATCATCTCTATGAGGGAATCAGAGCGAGAGGACCTATTCATTGCTCACAAGCCGCCCGACTTTACTTCGGTCTGCATAAAAAATAAAATAGGTAATCAAGTGAAAGCAAGACAAATGGTTTCTAATAAATACATAAATAAGATAAATAGAGAAAATAAAGAAAAAAGAGAAAAGGAAGAAATGACCTAATAGCGTTGAGAATTTACCCAGTTTGAATCGAAAACCCAAAATTGTGGATCTGATTCCAAAATTTAGATCCAAATAGTAATTCGGATAAGATTTGGGGTACAGATGGATCCGATATAGATCCAACCCGATTTTTAAAATAGTATATATATATATATATAATATAATTCTTTAAACTTTTAGAAGACGTCATCTAGATCCTATGTATAGTGTCTATATATATATATATATATATATAATATAATTCTTTAAACTTTTAGAAGACGTCATCTAGATCCTATGTATAGTTTTTGGATTACAGTCCAGATTCAAATATTCTGGATCCAATCGAATCTAGATCTAGATCCAAATCTTATGTATATTTTTCAGATCCAAATCTAGATCTGGGTGAATCACCCAAAAAATTCTCAGCCCTAGCACCTAAAGGCTGAGCCCTTAAACTGATGAATCTATTAAATAACAATAGTAGAACGATGAATCTATTAAATAATAATAGTACCCCTACTTGTTTAGAGTTAGCAACACAAAACTCACTTTTGTTTTTCTTTTTTTTTTAAATATCTAAAATCTAAACCCTTGTTTTAGTTTTTTATCTCTAAACAACCTAGGTGTCAAACACATAAATGGATGAAATTATTAAAATATCCTTGTTTAAAGTTCTTAATCTTGAATATAGACAATTTGGTCATTTTTCAAATTTTTTAAAAAGGCATCTAAGTGAAATGCAATCATAGTTCAAAAGTGAAATGCAATCATAGTTCAAAAAGTAACCACCAAAATGATCAATTAGATGATTTGACCACCTTTGAAATTTTTGTAATGTGGTTTAATCATTTAGATGGTATTCTCTTAAAGCGTTTTTATAGGTTAATCTCTAGGTTGATTAAGTCATGCCCCCAAAAATTGTGTCCTAAGAATACTCATGGCTAAAATTTTGCTCGATGGAGCAAATGCACATATTGCTCCCACATACGTAATGTCTTCCCAGTTCTCTAATATGAAGCATATGCCATAACAGAATTTCAATTGCCATTCATCAACCACAACAGTCTGTAGAGAAGATATTAAAATCTTGAAATACAATTACAAGACTAACATCCATCCCCAAAAGGAGAATCAAAAAGAAGAAAAATACAGGGGATTAATAAGTTTGAAAACTGTGATGACTGAAGTCTGATTTATTGGACAAAAATTGAATTCTTTAAAATTGAGCAGTATATTCTTTTTCTCCTCAACCAACAATGTACACTGTCTTGATTCATTCAATAGTTCAGATGGTTCGATGTTAGATGAGAAATCAATCCTCTTATGTACACAAGCCCAACATCCGATTTCTCAAGCAAGTCAAGGAGCACATTGTCACATCTTGCACAACATCATATATAAGAAAAGAAGCCTCAAAATGCAGGGAGCCTTCCCTGTAACAAGACACCCAAGTCCTCATCCTAAATACAGTTATCCTCAATACCAGCAACCATAACTACCATGGAAAGATGAGCTCTTTTGCTAATATCCTACACGGCCTGATGCCAGTTTTAACAGTCACCTGATTTCCTGTCTCGATGGACCACCCAAAACTTAAAATAAAATAAAATAAAAAATTATATAATAAGAAAAAAGCAAACCTGAATGGCAAATTATGATTTCAACTCTATTCTCTTGATTTCACCAGAAAGGCTCAAGAAATGACAATTGTTAATAGAGAACCAGGTAGGACTGGGTTTTACCCAATTGTGGTTTCTTGGTGTGAGAAGAATCCTCAAAACCCACCCATTCACCAAACACTCATATTAAGCATCAAAATCACCCCACCACCAAAACCAATTTGCTACGATCCTTCAGAACCATAAAGATCCCCAGCTTCTGACGATTGAGGTTGGGTAGGATCGACCCAAACACTAGGGGCACCTATCGACATGTCAACAAAATCCTCGACCCTATCATCTTCTGATTCCAACATCTCGGTAAAAGAAAAGAAGGTTTGGGGCTCAAGCTCCATATTCTCAACACTACCTCCTGTATACTGCAAATACTGAGTTTCTTGGACAATTCCACTATCTCTCAATCCAGCGGTAGCCGTTGGAGCCAAGTCCCATTCAGCTTGAGGAGTATATGCCTCCTCATCAACTGGCTTTGCCAAAACATCGTCACAGTTGTTTTCTTGTTTTGCATGCCTTCTTCTAACTGGTAGCTTTTTAGGGCTTTGGTATAATGGCCCGCTTGTATGCAATTGAATTGAATCATCAGATGTCTCACACTCAGTGATGGGCACCACTTTTGAAAGGGAAAATAGAAGAGGATCATCATCAGCTAGAAGACCAGCATCTGTTCCATAATATCCCTGCAATAGTGGAGGTGTTGGCTCCCCTACCATATGTTGTAAAGTATCTTCAGGTAAGGCAACCACTAAATCAGACCTATTAGTTTCCTTTGGCGCCTTCTTCGCTTGCCTCTTCAGCCTAGAAGACAACCTATCAGGGCTTGCGTCTAAAGCATCTTCAGATAAGGCAACCACTGTATCAGACCCATTAGTTGCCTTTAAGACCGTCTTTCCCATCCTCTTTAGCCTAGGAGCCAACTTCTCAGGACTTGTGTAGGGACAGATGGGGCTGCTTTTCTTACGGCATTTGCAGCACCTGAAGCCCACGATATCAAAGATTTGCGCTTCCAAGACCTCAAGTGCATCTCCATGGTACCATCCTGTGCAGCAGTCAAGAAACTGAAATTATCAGAGTTCGCACCTGATTTCAGCCTTCTCCTATTTCAAAAATGTCATTTTTGCCTTGAAAATATTACTTTTAAGACAGTCCAAACTTATTGGTTAGGCCAATGGTAAGAAAAAGAAAAAGAAGCTCAGCCACTTTCTTATCTGGATTTCGAAAAGGAAATGGGTCAATTTTAATGAGAGATTTTTTACCATTTTATGCAAATCTCCTTAATTTTTTTTATTTACTTTTCTTGAGAAAAGGTTAACTAAATCTCCTTAATTTTGCCTGCTTTAGTTGAAATTTGGGCTCAGATTTCCAATTCTGATGGTCTTTATACTGTTAAATTTCCAAAAGTATATTTCAGTAGTTCCAGGTTGATTTGAAGATAAAAATTTAGATCAAGTCCATCCAAATCTTAGTCTGAGATTCACAAACAATGATGCCCCAAAAAAAAAAAAATTGGTTGACTCAAAATTTGCAATGTTTCTCACACTAACCATGGGAATAAATTGTACAGCAACTAGAAGAGATGAAAGGAATAGTGTTCACAAATGACAGCAACAACAAATAAAAATTTAGATCAATTCCATCCAAATCTTAGTCTGAAATTCACAAACAATGATGCCCCAAAAACAAAAAAAAAATGGTTGACCAAAAATTTGCAATGTTTCTCACACTGACCATGCGAATAAATTTGTACAGCAACTAGAAGAGATGAAAGGAATAGTGTTCGCAAATGACAAACGCAACAATTGAAATATCCCACACTTACTGTCACATGCTTCACACTTGATATACATCAGATCTGGATTGTATGGCTCGCAACAAAGGATACACACCGGACACTGCAGAGGATCCACTCCTCCATTGCTTCTAAGTAGAATGCGGTTAGCCCTGAAACTTTCTCCAGACTGGCTTTCATTCCCCTTCCATATAACCCCAAAAGCAGTAGCAGATCTCTTACGCATTATTTTAGAAGGTGGGTCAGTATTATGCCTCTTTTTAGAAAGCGAATCAGTAATGCGCCTCTTTTTAGAAAGTGATTCAGTAACCCGATAGCCATTCTGATTCATAGCTTCAGGACTTTGCAAGTCAAATTGTTCCACACCTTGAAGAGGCTCTCTCGCTTTCAACTTCATTTTGTGGCCTACAGTTCTCACGGCACACCAGTTGGAATGACACTGGATGCATGTGACTCTCAATTTGGGTTCATCTCCCAGGTAAAATGTTGATGACACCATGCACTCCTTGTGACAAGACCCTGAACAGTATAACATAACAGCAGATTAAATTCCGTGTCTAAAATTCAAGATTACTCAAAAGGGTACAAAAAAGGCTAAGGCCCATGGCCTGCTTTATTCTTTTTTTTTTGGTAAATGTGATTCTGCACATATTGAATGAGAAGTAACCAATTACCAACCTTGGCATGTTCCGCACTTGACAGCCTCACTGCAGAGAAATCAGGAAAACCTTTAGATGGCATATGTGAAATCAGGAAAGCATAAGATAGAAACACTGGAATGCTGGATATTTGATAAAATAAAAAGGGAAAACTCCATGTGCTATATGCCACACCACCAGGACATCCGCCTTACATTCCAAATGAAGCACATTGGAGATTAGTTCGTAATGATGAACATCTCTAATGTCAATCATTGGAACAAACAGTGGATATCAGATATATACTACATACCATATGCCACGAGTAAATGGTATAATTAAGAAACTAAACATCATGTACATAACGGACAGGTTAAGAAAAAATAAAATTTAAGAATAAAGCTACAAACAAGACATACACAATGATAGAAAAAAAAAACCCAAGCCATGTATGTATCTTAGAAGCACAGGTCCACAGATGCATGCACACACTTGTGGCATGCATGCATGATCTGCCTGACCTGACATTACAAGATGCCAGTCAAGCATTTAGGGATGACTATGTTACCACAATCCTAAAGCTTTATTTGTATTAAAGTTTACACCCTTCACATGTTCTAAACTTTGAGCCATCAAATTGAGATGGATTTTTATATAGAGTCAAATTGACCACATGTTCATTTTTTATTCAATCGCATCAATACTACTATTATCAGTATGGTGAATATGTCACACCTAGTGTGCATCACACCAGCGGCATTATTTCAAATCCAAAGCCCCACGCTTCTTAGTATAAATACAGAAAAGGATAAGGATTCCTTGAATATAGGTTAAATTCCCAATCCAAAGTCCTGTGCTTCTGCATAAATCAGAGTAGGATAAGGATTCCTGAAATATAGCTTGAAAACTAATAATACCCCTTTCATGGAAGAAAATGATTCATCACATTTATTTTGGTAATGTATTCAACTTACAAAACTAGAAATGGCTCTCTCTATATATCTAATTTAGCCCGTAACTTCCCTCTTATTTAACAAACAAAAAAAAAAAAAACAATCTCATGCCTGATAGAATAGAGACTACAACTAACTCCTCTTTTTAAATTTATGTCTTTAAATATATTTGTCTCTTCTTTTCTCTTTAAATTTCAAAAAAATCTTTATTGTTTCTCAAATATCTTTATTATTAGCTGAAAAGTTGGGGACCCCTACCAACTCCTCTCTCTCTCTCCCACTTCATGATATCTCTCTATCGTGTATCTCACTTGCCTGTACATCATATGGCCGGAACTGGAGCCTAGTTAAACTATATATACCAAGTATTTTACAATGTTGATGATAGTGTACATAGCTTGTAATGGGTTTTTTTTCCTTTAATGTGCATCCCACAATGATAGCCGGGGAACACAGTTTATAATGATATAAGCGCATAAGAGCACTCACACATTTCATATCTCAATGTATAAATAATATTGCATGTAGCAGAATGCATAGCAAAAGCAGGATAACTAGAACTCAAGTGAAAAATGGGATAGAAACACAGACAGCAGATTAAGGCAACAGGATCAACAAAGTACAATCATAACAGAGAGAGTATTCCATAACACAGTTTAGTAACAAGGACAGCACAATACCTGTTGGGGACAGGCTTTTGACATTGAACACATAAACACTTATAAACCATTTCTGCCCCATAAGTGAGATATTCAAATGCATTCCCCCGAGGAGAATTTATCAGCCTTCTCTGGATCTTCATGGGTATCTTTGAAGGCTTAATTTCTAATGACAAAGCTAACCTCTCTTCAAATTTCTTTGTCAGGTACAGAGGAATGTGATTTTCGGAGAACCAGGCCTTGTTCCCAACATTGCAAGTTTCATCTTTAATAACATACTTCATTAAACGTTCAGGAATGCATGTGAGACCGTTAAATTCCAGCAGGTACCTCACATCATTAGTCCCTGCCTTTTTAAAAACAATGGATGCCTTCCTGAACGCGCCAGCATCGGCATCATTTTTTTTTACCTCCATAGAGAACTGCTCCTGAGGAACAAGATCCATCCATCTTATGTGGGCATTAAGAACTCTGACCTGAAATAGTGTAAATTCATGAGATGCTGTTAACCAAATGAACAAAAGCACCCTGCTAAAGGATCAAGATTAAAAGGAGAAACCCAAACCCGAAGAGCAAGATGGGATGCATTCCTACTCCTTTCCACTGCAGCTCTCCATGCAAACCTAAAGCTTCTTCTCGGAATTCCAACACTTTCACTGTAAGAAACTGTAAAGACCTTTTTAAAGCCACCTGTGCCATAGCATAAGCATCCAAACATTAAAGAGAATCCCAATGAAAAGCAAAATGGTGCTTGAGATGCAAAAGAAAAAACAATCTACCTTGGCGAGCTGCTTTTTTTGCTATTGATGAAGGCAAGATCCCTCTTAGTAATAGCTGCTTTGATAGTTTACCCCCTCTCCACCAGTAAAATGTAGTTTTGCTTTCTCGCTGAGTTCTGCTTTCTTGCTGGACATGAGGAATGTCACTCAACATTGCTGATTGTTTCTTTTTCCGTCTACCTATATATCCACGCTTTGAATTTGATTTAACCAAGACGGCTCCCATTTGCGTCGCAGAAATCTCTAGGACATACTCATCCACCAATTTAAACCAACCTCCTGAGAGTGAAATTGGACGAATATTCTCCTCAAGCTGCATAGAACATCCGCATAAGAATGAACAAGTCCAAATTTCAGACCAAAGTTATGGCTTTTTTAAGTTCATACAATACATTTTTGAATGCGAACAGCAACATCATAATGAAAATAAGAAGAAATTCACGCTATGCTTAATTACACAGCCAGTTTCAAAACCTTCAGCAAACACTGAAATTATCTCAGCAACCTATAAATCCATAGGAACCTCAAAGTACCTTTAACATTCATTATATGAAGACTCATATGAGTGCTGGTGTCCAACGCACCCATAAAAAACTTCTGTACTTCTTTTTCTTCTTTTTTTCATCAAACAAAATCACAATTGGGAAAATTGGTTGAGTCATCAAATTCATTGTTACAACCTGTAAAGTGTTTCCAAGGAAATGCAGGCCCTGTGTTTTCATGCTTAGACTTTTGATCCTTCCAGGAAAACAATTCTAATAATCTACGAAGTGTAACAGTTTTAAGAAAGAACCAGCAGCACTCCTAATACTTCTAAAGTAATGTCTGACACTTCCAAGGAAGTTTTGTGCTCAATGGTCATCATGTGTGGTCGATCCACATTGACATTGTACATATTGAAAGTGCACATATATTTAGAATACACTTCCAAGACCTCCGTTTGAATTTTACCCTCATAAGGGGGGGTGTTCATAACTACTAAAAGCATTAGACAAGCCTAGTGAATCCATCTACCTGGAAGTGGAAAGTCAAATATCCAGATTTAGTTACAGAGGAACCTTTGGAAGAGGGAGAAGTAATGTTTTTGCTCAGATTCCTTCCAATCACGATCTCCAACCCTCAGTCAATCCCAGAAGCTCATGTACGACATACACATACCCAAACAAACTAACACGCATTTACTACTATAGCTCGCTATAGACAAAGAACAATGCTGCACAAACAAAATCTATTTTGGTGTACCCAAATCTTCAGCGACGCATCACATATGTCTACATGTTTACTCAACTACATAATATACTATACAATTATAGTAATACAATGGGAGAATCATATAGTATGTGGTAAATTGAAAAGAACCAAAGCATATTTGTGTGCACATAGATCAATATGTGGCTTTAGTTGCTGCACTTGCTGCATCTCTATCCATGTACATAAAAGTTACATGATTATCTATAACCTAAGAAAGATGGAAAATACAGCTCCTAGCAATATGGAACGCAAATTCCACATACTTTCACCCCCATCTTTATAAATTTATTGGTAATAATTCTCACTCCCATCTCAAGAACCAAGATTCAATAGAGGATGAGCCACTCTAGTAACCCATTCAACTACCTTCTAAGGAACATAATACAACATAATATGCCAGAAAGCTCATTCAGCACTCAGCAGACATAATTCACACACACACGCACACACACATATATATATATATATATAAACAAAAAGAAACTTACTTCCAGTAGAAGCAACTTCAATTCTTTGCAAGATGGGACTTGCTCAACATATAAACAAAAAGAAACTTACTTCAAGTAGAAGCAACTTCAATTCTTTGCAAGATGAGACTTGCTCAACATGCTTACGCCATTGTCTCCTATAACTTGGACGTGCCCAAGGACCAGCAACCAAACCAAGTAAACCCTCTTCCATGTGCAAAATGTAAGCTATCACTGAAGAAAGATAACCCTCCTCACTCCCCATGACACGAATACTGTAAGGAATTTTCACCGCACCTCTCATGGCACTGGTAGCAGCTGAACTTAGTAAGCAGACCTTCTTATTTGCATTAGGAGACTGGCATGAAATGCACCAACCACATTTTTCTTTTACCACCTCCATGAATTTCTTCTCGGAATATGGCCAATGGAAATGCATGGTTGCTCCTGAAAATGCTCTCACTTGAAGTGAAACCCTTGCATTATGCAATTTCTTGGGGTCAGAAAAAACGGAAGCTGAGAACGTTCTACAACCCTCAGCTTCACAAACAGCCAAGTTAGCCGCTGCAGATGCAGCGACATCACCAAGGATGTACTGATTTTCATAAGCCTGAAAGTTAAATACAGGCTCTGACTTATTCTTTCCACCATTGCTATGCTGAACTCGCCCATTTCCATTAGATAAGATGAAATTTGTGTCCTTTACATGCAAATTTGAGCCATCAGCATCTTCCTTAACACAGTTCTCCTCACGTCGACATGCACTAGTAGCCACCTTGGATACAACAGATTTTTCAGCTAGGATTTTTCCATTCTCAGTCACACAAGGGGATAATGATCTGGAACTAATGATTGAACCTGCACCACACTGTTGATATCCTTCGACAGAAACCTGGACTGATTGTACAATTGGAATAGGAATTACAAAACCAAAATGGCCATCCTTTTCTTTTTTCATAGATCGTTCACATGCATCAACACTGCACTGCTCCTTTTCTGCGAAGTCAACGGTACCCACCATATAAGGCAGTGAGATCTTCATATCAGATTCATTGCCCGCATTCTCTTTAAATTGAGGAGTTTGGCACGCTGCGATGCTTTCAGTGACACTATTAACACAAGCCATTTCACCCACCTCATTCAAGGACTTGCGATTATCTTCCACAAGAACTGTGCATGGTGAAGAAGTTCTAACAGCATCATCCTTTACATCACGAGGTTTTTCTTCAAGTGTATCAGCTGATGAAGGATTTAACAAGCTCAAGCCTTCCGATATTTCCCAGTATTGTCGAATCCGCATGCATATCTCAGAGTAGAAAGACGAGTGTACTGTAGACATGTCAATTGCTTGCAAGACCTTTGGAATATCATCTTGTTTATAATATCGAGAAGAACTACATGTAGTGTCAGACCTGCCATCAATCAAGCAAAAAATTAATAAGTAATAAATTCCTTAAAAATAAACAAAACATTGAAGTGCATAAAAATAGAGTCTGGAAGGTTCTAGTCATAAAAAGTTATTTGATTTTGAACATTTAAACAAGCGAAAGCAATTCTTTCAAACTTAACAAAGGATAGAACAAACTATCCACCAAGCCAAACGATATCCAACAAGGCATCAAAAATGTGATAAGCAAGCAACAGTAAGTGAAAGAAAAAACCATTAACCACTCTTTTTGCTCAGGATACATGTGAATCAGACAAATAAAGATGCTATGTTACAAGAAAAGCTAAATGCATAAATAACTAAAAGCCCCGATGCTAGAAACGACCAAGTAATGAGAATGCAGTTTTCATGATGGGAGAGGCATTTTCAAATAATTAACAGAGAACGTCAAAGAATTATGTCAACAGACTTACACAAGCAAATAGCTCCCAGTCCCACAAAAGATGTGCCCGTATGGGTCAACACCAAAGACCTCTGCTCCTCTTAGTCCTTTCCCAATTTTCGACAACATTGGCTCCACTTTATCCACAGCACATTCTGGACAAAACCATGATCCCCGAGGCAAATCAGCTTTACTCAGACCAATGCATCTCGAATGATAAGCAGAAGGGCATCCATCACAACAAATCAGACTCCCATCCATGCCACAAAGTCGGCATTCATCACTATTCAAATCAGAAGCAGCAACAGTTCCACTCATATCTGGCATCAAAATCTTATTGTCTCTAGAATCATTGGGCTCAACAAGCCTCTTTTGAGATTCTTCCCTTTCGAAAGCAGACCACTTGGAATGTCGAGGATGTAAGATTGTGGGTCCATTTGCAAAAAGATCACGACACTCTTGCTCATCAAAAAATTCCACATCTGGGTCCAACCTTACCCGCGTGCTTACCTCTGCTCTCAGCTCCTCAGATTCTAAAACATCATCACATAGGATTCGCAAAATGCATATTTTCATGGGCAAAGGTATGCCATAATAATCACTGTCCAAAAGACAACCAATATTCAGTTTCGTTCCCACCCTGTTGCTTGAACCCATAACCATAAGGTAACCCATTAAGTAATTTGGCCAGGTAAGTGAGTCCAGAAAGGTCCAATCCAATTGCCTGCATATGTTATTCAATAGTTAATCACAACAACCTACCTTTGAGACACATTATCCTAAGCAGCCATGATAGAAGAGGTAAAAAGAGTGCAAGAATGCATACCTTAGGCACTTTGCTGCAAGTTCGAAACCTTCTTTTGAGAGCATCTCAAGGTGGCGCTTCAAAGTGCGTAACAGCGAAAAGTGAACAGCATCAAACAGAGTACTTGAATGCATGCATTTGAGGGAACCCACAAAATCATCAAGAACAAAGGGACTCAAGAATAGCTGATGACTAAAAGATCTCAAGAAAGAATATACATAAAGCAGATCAGGGACCAGTTCCTCTGGAATCGCAAGACTATCTGATGATGGTGGAAGAATAAGAGGCAATGAAGGGGGAGCATCAATCTGGGAAAATGGTTCTCTAGTGTGGTAACAGTGCTGGGAATCTGAAGAATCACTAGAAGAATCAACCTCTCCACTCAAACAAGAAGCGGCACTTTTTGGGCGGTGTGTAACCCCACCATGTAAACCATGTCCCAAATGGTGTGCCGATGCAATCGAAGAATTTGCTTCTTCCTTAGCAAAACGGGCTCCATGACCATCCATTTCAAGCTCCAAAAGGTTAGACCAACCTGCATCTTTAAGAACCCCATGTTCAGCCAGATGACCACCCCTCTCGTTTGATGGGTTGCTCTGAACAACCTCTGAACTTTTATTTGCAATGCCATCTTCAGCTACAATGGCAGAATTACTATGAGAAGGTTTTGGTACTTCATTGATGCCATTTCCAGGTAGAGAATTCCTACTAGAGCGAGTATTTGGATGCTTTGATGCAGCCTCCACGCACGATACAATTAATTGGTCTAATTTTCTCTTCCGATTAAAGAGTTCAGCATCAAAATTTTCCTCTTGAACGATAATATCACAGAGTTCATGATACTCCAAGTCCTCACCATCCTCATCCTCATATCTAACTCTATAAAACCCACCATAATAAGCGACAATCTTTCCAAGAAAAGCCCCACATGCAGCAAAATCCTTTTTCACATATCTTCCCACTAAGGCTCTTCCCTTTTTACCCAACTTCCACTTAACCTCAGTAACGTCAGATTTCTTGTTGCCCAAATCTGAAACACCCATAACTCTCCTTTGTCTCCCTGGATTTACAGTCTTGCAATTATCTGATTCCATTAAAGCAAGGAGAACTGTAACTGAACCCTTGCTAGTAAACTAAAAGGGAAAAACGGAAAAAAAAAAAAACACAATGTTAATTTCTTTATAAAGCTTCAAACTAGATGCACATCTGACAAAACTATTTTTTCTAGAACTACATAAATTTAATCACTGTATTTTCTACGAATCAAGGCAAGTAACAAATATTTAAACCAAAAATAAGGGGAGAATCGAGGCAAGTAACAAATATTGAAACCAAAAATAAGGGTAAAAATAAAACCCTTATTCTGATATAAAAAAGTAATAAAAAACGAAACTAGGGCAAATATGGGGCACCGAAATTTAGTCGCAGGAAAAACCCTGAAAACACATAATGAATCTGTGATTCCATCAACCCTTAATAGTTTTGATTCATAAGTCGCAACTAAGCTACAAATAAAATTAATCAAAATAACTGGAAAATAAAAACCAAACCTTTTCAATCGTTACCTTCTCTTTGGAAATAAAAAAAAAGGTGGAAATCAAAAATAGGCCAGGCACATAAAAAAAACCAATAAAACCAGAAAAACAAAATCCCCCCACCCAAATTCTGTAGGAGTTTCAATCCCAACATGCGGTAGAAAAACATTCAAAGCACATGAATTCTAACTTAGAGAGAGATAGAGAGATGAATGCACGAAAAGGAGTAAGAGAGAGGAAGAAACAAACGACCTTAGGGTTGAATGACGACTCAGGCCACTTCAATAAATCTGAAAACCCCAAAGAGCATGCAGACTGGAACAATAGAGAGAGAAACGAGAGAGATCGAATGAAGCGAGGAGGAGAGAGAGAGTGAGATAATGGCGCTCAACTCCTCCATAACCATAAGTAACAATACGCCATTCTCTCTTTTACTTCCTCCGGAAGGAGAAAGAAACCCTACCCCCATTCTCTCTTTCCCTCTCTAGTTTTTAGAGAGAGAAACAGAACAACGGCCGCTTCTTTTCTTTCTCTTAATTCCATTTTTATCCTCTCGGATGAAGGCCATAGCCAAAAATAATAATCATACTTATTTGAAAAGCAAGTCCTTATTGTATGCTCTCGCGAGATCATATTATACATATATTCATTTGGTTAAAACCTAGCCAGAATAATTTTCGGACCCTGAATTCAGGGGATTTAACCTCCCCAAGTGACTAACAGCAAAAATAATCAAAAAATTATGATTCTTTATATGTTTCTAAGAGAAAATAATATTTTTTATTAAACATACAACTTGCAAGTTTTGTCATTTTGGATAGTAAAATTAAATTATTTAGAAAAGCATATTTTCTTCTTTTTTTAAAATATTTATATAGTGATATTAATGTGGATGCCAAGACTTCAAATCAATGAAATTCTAGGAAGTTTGTCTCTTGTCAGAGGTATCATGTGTATAATGTGATCCCGCTGTAGTTCTCCCTCGCACTAAGGAGATCTAGACCTATAAAACGAAGTGGGAGAACGAAATAATGTGATTTGGGGCGGGAAACGCCCCTTCTGTTTTCCCCCCAATTTTTTAAATGTGGTTCCATCCAACGGTTAACTGCCCAAATTTTTCACTCCCACGTAGGCAAGTAACCAAATTAGTACACAGTTGATATAAGATCCACGCCTTTTGCTATATTAGGTCTTTGTTTATGTACATTAATAAGTAACATTAAACCCTAAACCATGTTATGAGCATAAATTCATGCAAAATTTATGAGTTTTTATGTGTTTTTTTGTCTATGTCCACTAATAAATAAAACCGAGTAACATCGGTTTTACTATAATAGGTTTTCTATCTTTGTATAAGTAACAGAAAAGTACCAAATAAGATCATTATTTTCGGTACAAGTATGCTACAACTATCTTTGGTTGTTGGATGTGAAATCGGGCAATTAGATGTCCCATTATCCAGGTTTCAAAGTCAAATAAATTTTTTTAACGTTATAACACACCCTAAACTATTATAATTCATATTTGAAGACGACAAGTGATTGTGGCCTCTTAATACTAAAAGATAAATAGTCATATTTAAAAAGTGTTTATCAAAAAATAAACCGTCATATATCATATAAACTCTATCAATGCACATAAACAAATAGATCTTGTATGAACTATGTACTAACTTGGCTTGGCATTGAGTGTAACTTCTTATGTACATCAACAAAAGCCCTCTGGCAAATACCATAGGTATGGGGTTACTTTTAGGAAAAGGTTTTTATAAGGATGCAACCTATGGATGCACCTCAAAACTCCATCGGAAAAGGTAGTTTTAATGTTGAAAGACCTTTCGAATGATCATCTCGATATCGAGATGTATGACCATGAAAAATAAAAAGATTTTAAGTCTCATAAATAATGTATTTTACAACATATTATCTACTCTATCCATTTTCAATATTTTTCATACGTTTATAGATCTACTTGATTTTAATCATTTTTTAAATTTAAAATTTTATAATTAGATAAAAAAATAGACTTTGAGATAATCCTAAGAACATTTTGGGTCAAGATTGTATACCATGATAAAATTTAAAGGTGCACCTTACCTCTATACCTTCAGATGTATCCGTATGCAAACCGCACCCTTACTTTTACTTATTAATGTGTAAAACTAAAACCCCACACTGGCGAAAACCCTAGGTCTTATATGAATCATTTACATAACTTGTTTTAGAATTTGGTGTACCACGGAAGGCTAGATCAAGTCTTGTACATAGTTCATTCCTATAAGATCAATGGCTTTTTGCTAGAGTGGAACTATGTTTTTGAACATTAATAAGTAACTCTAAACACTAAACCAAATTATGTGCATATTTGGTATAAAGATGCATGTTTTTTTTTCTATATTGGGTTATTTGTTTATGTTCAATGGTAGTACTAATCCCTGTAACTATGGCTTTTGCTAGGATGGGTCTTTGTTTGTGTGCATAAGTGTCTCTAAACACCAAAGGAAGTTATTACATATTTCAAATGAGATCTATTGCTTTTGCTAGAATGAATATTTGTTCATGTGCACATTTAAGCAACAATAAGCACTAAATCAAGCCATGCACATGGTACATATAAGATCTAGGAAAATTTATGTAAATATCCATGTTAATCTCCCTTGTTGCAAAAAGACCTAATACTTTTTGTTATTACTCGTATGTTCATTTTTTGAACTTCATAACAATTTTTTTAAAAAAGACGAAACTACCTATCTTTGGTTTTTGAAAAAGCAAAATCAATTCAATTTCGGATTTTCAATGACCAAATTTTTTCAAAAACCGAAATTGTGCAATCTTAATTTAACCCTACAAACCCTGTTTTTGTCTCACCACACGAACTTTGGTGCCCATCTCTCTTTTCTCTGCAATTTTTGTTCTCTCTCTCTTACCTCTCTCACAAAAAACCTCATTATGTAGATTTGGTTATATTTGAAGTGAAGGTTGTTAACGGAATTTAATGGCATTTAATGGATTTTGAAGGCATTTGACGGATTTCAAATATATAGTGAAGGTATGTGTATAATGATTTGTGGTTCAATTTTAGAAATTTAGATTATATAAGATTTTGATTTAGGGTTTCACAATTGAGAATATAATGTCAATTTAGAGGCTGTTTGGATACCTGGAAATATATTACTTGTGAAATATATGCAAATGGATTGTTACTATTTGGGTAGTATTTAAATGCAATCTGAGAAATACATTGCTACTGTTTGACTATGTCTAGAAGAAATATGGGAATTGCATTATCAACTTTTTACCAGCACTTGCATATAAACTATTATTTATTTCTTTCTTTTGTCACAAAATTCCACTGAAATATAGAATTAAAGTCATCATCACATCATTTTAAAAAGATTTTCTAATGATAACATCATCACAATTCCAAAAAGATTTATTAATAATAACTTGTACCATTCTAAAGTCATTATCATACAATTTCTTACTTATTTTGCATGCCTTTGGCACTTACATAGAATAACATGTCTTCTAACATGATTAGACTTTGGTTTCAATAAATCATTGAAATAATATGATTGAAATAACATATTTTTATTATGATAAGCCTTATTTTTTTATTTTTTTATAGAAGCCTTTCAAATGTCAATCTATATAATTTTAAATAAGCAATAAATTTATGATACCAAATTAAAAATCTTTATGGTACAAGTTAAAAAATTAGAAGAAGTATGAATAATAAACTAGAAGGTTTGGTAATTGTAGTATAAAATTTTGAGGTATTGGAGGAAACTATCTTATTTCAATTGAGCTTTTACTAATCTCTTACGAGGATTATGTTGGGTAAATTTATTTATTATACATGTGTTGTGTAATTTATTATGTTAGGTGACATATTTTATTATAATTGTGTTGTGTAATTTCTCATTGATTAGATATACTAAGGAGAATGGAGATGCTAAAGAGAGAGGGAGAATGGATAAAGTGCAGATGAGAGAGTAAGGAGGCTTAAAAAAAAAGAAGTCCAGATGAGAGGAAAGGGCTTAAAGATAAATGGGGCTTAAAAAAAAATACAGATGGGAAGAAACGGAGGGAGCACCTTATACAAACTAGTTATTAGGGTTTCAAGAGAAGGGAAGGGCTTAAAGAGAGAAGAAGCACCTATGTAAACCGAGTAGGCGGGTTGCCATTTTATTAAGTTGGGATAGGGCAGAGACAGTCACTCAAAAGATTTCTAAAGATAGTAATATATTTTCACTTTCTACCGCGGGTAATGTGTTTCATAATTTTTGGGGAAATCTCGATAATTTATTTCCATTTTCCTTATTATAAACTGTAACCAAACGCGCAATCGATTGTCATGTAATAGATTTTCAGGTACCCAAATGGCCCCTTAGGGTTTATTTGATGGATTTCATAGTTTTATGGAACTAAAAATTTAGGAAAATTATGTAAACAACTGTTTTATTTTTTTGTTACGAAAATACCTAATAGTTTACATTATTACAAATATATCCGTTTTTCAATTCCATAACAATTTTTAAAAAAATATTACCCATTTTTTGTTTTTCATAAACCGAAATCAAACCTATTTGGGTTTTTGAAAAATCGAAAATGAACCCATATTTTTTAACACCTTTGGGTCGCTCACTGCGCTTTGGAGCTCGGTATCCTCTGCATTTTTTCTTCTCTCACTCTTACCTCTCTCACAAGAATCCCAATCGAGCCCCATTACATTTTTTCTAGGTTTACCTTATCACCCAAATAGAACAGAAGCCAATGTTTAGAATATGCTTAGACGTAAGACAGTTCAAACTTTAAATCCATACTATAGTTTGATCCACCTCCATTTTGATGAATAGGAATCGACTTCTCTCTAGGTTGAAGTGGGGTATATCTTCCTTTTTAGTTAATCATGGGTCTCTCTCTATCGGTTGGTCTCTTTATCTCTATGCCATTTTGTCTTTATCCACCGTTCTCTCTCATCTTCCTTCACAGTTTCTCTATCTAAACTTTATTTTCTCAATGAATGGATCTCCCAAAAAGTTAAGTTTTTCTCTGCCATTTTTTCTTAGTACGTCGTTCTCTCTCATCTTCCTTTACAGTTTCTTTCTCTAAACTTTATTTTCGCAATGAATGGATCTCCCAAAAATTTTGGTTTTTCTCTTCCATTTTTTCTTAATCTACTGTACTCTCTCATCTTCCTTCGCGGTCTCTCTCTCAACTTTATTTTCTCAGTGAACGATTTCTCAAAATTTTCTATTTTTGCAAAACTTAAATTTTAAAAAAATTGGTTTTGGAAAAACCAAAAATGGATAGTTTTGCATTTTTTTTTAAAAAAAATGTTATGAAGTTAAAAATTATACACATACCTAATAATGGAAACTATTAGGTATTTTTGTAATAACAAAAAATAAAATTGATATTTATGTAATTTACCCAATAATTTATACACAAGGTTATCTTGAGTTAAGAATTTGGGTTTTTTTTTTAAGAAATGTAAATTTGGGGGT